GTAGTAGTTTTTTTCTTACTTCCATCTATCTCTTCACATTCTTTTATTCCAAAAATAATGTGCTATATGTTCTGCTAATTGGATCTTTTATTGTTATTTTTATTATTGCAGGAAATTGTAAAAGAGCAGGTTGGTAACATGTATCTGTGGCCAAAAACACTTGATGTTCAAATAATGGATCCTGCAAAGTAACTTCACATTTCTAATCTATTAAAGCTTTATCACCCCTCTCTCTTCTAATAATTTTTCACTAACTTTGGTCACACAGAAATGTTGTCCAACTGCATTCTTCGGGTTTTATATTATTCTTCTTCTTTTTAATCATTTATTAAAATAACATAAGTATGACACTTCTTGTTTTAAAAAGTTTTTGTTTTAGTTTTTAAATACGGAGGCGCATTTTACACTAATTTTCTTCTGTCTTTTGTATCGTTTTTGACAGAGCGATGCAGAGGCCAGTTGGGATTCTTAATGTTAAGGTTGTGAGGGCAATGAAGCTCAAGAAGAAAGACCTTTTGGGGGCTTCAGACCCATACGTCAAACTTAAGCTCACCGATGACAAACTCCCTTCAAAGAAAACAACCGTGAAGCACAAAAATCTGAACCCGGAGTGGAACGAGGAGTTCAGTCTTGTTGTTAAGGACCCCCAGTCTCAGTATTTAGATATCTCTGTCTATGACTGGGAACAGGTATATCAAATTTCAGATTTCCCTAAATACTTTCATTTCAGATTTCAGAATTTATATCATTTCTCCCGGATTTGAGTATACATATGGCATTCAATCATATTTAATGCAGGTTGGTACACATGACAAGATGGGTATTAACACAGTCCCTTTGAAAGATCTTATATCCACGCCGGAAGAACCCAAAGTACTGACGCTGGATCTTCTGAAAACCCTTAAGCCGGACGACCCTCTGAATGAGAAATCGCGGGGGCAGATTGTCCTTGAAGTCATGTACAAACCATTCTCAGAGGAGCAGCAAATGCCATCTGCTGAGGATTCATTGAAACAAGTGGAGGCAGCTCCTGAAGGAACACCTGACGGTGGTGGCTTGCTTGTAGTCATTGTCCATGAAGCTCAAGACCTTGAGGGGAAGCACCACACCAATCCTTCTGTCCGTTTGATTTTCAAAGGTGAAGAAAAAAGAACCAAGGTAATTTCTTTTTTTTTTCTCCATTGATCGTTTGGTAAGTAATATAGTCATGTCACTTTTTTAGAACTTTTGATGCAGTTTTAATTGACTTTTTGGGACGAAAGGAATAGTAAGTTTTCAATCAATTTTTTTTGGAATGCTGCAGACTGTAAAGAAAAATCGAGATCCAAGATGGGACGAAGAGTTCCAATTCATGTTAGACAAGCCGCCTACAAATGATAGGATGCATATTGAAGTTGTTAGCACATCTTCAAGGATGGGTCTCAGATATCCCAAGGTAGAGTACATTTTTATATTTCTACGTACCTCCAAAACATAAATGTACAGAAATTAAATGCTTTCGAGTAGTGTTTTTTTGCCACATATAATGTCATCGTCTTTGTGTTTTTTTAGGAACCTCTTGGATATGTGAACATACCACTAATGGATGTAGTTACCAACAAGAGAACAAATGAGAGGTATCACCTTATTGACTCCAAGAATGGTAGGCTTCAGGTTGAGTTACAATGGAGAACTGCATCTTAATGATCACAAGTGGTTTATCTCCCAAATCCTTTGGAATATCTTGAGATCATTCATAGTAATGGGTTCTCTTTTGATTGGATTGGGGGAGTTTGATGGATGATGAAAAAAGGAATGTGCATGGAAGGGAGGAAGAACACTCATTTCTTCTTTGTTTACCTCATGAGAATGGAAAGCCTATTTATGTGGGGGTTAGGAGGAGGGGAAGGAACTAGTTATACCACGTACCCACACGTTTCACGGTTTATTGATATTATTTTTTTAATATAGTTTTCCTATTCCTTGGGGTAGTGCTAAGATTGTCATATCTTTATTAAAACTTATTTCTAAGTTAGATAAACTTTATCTGTCCCAAAAAGATTCTCACAAAGATAGTGAATAAAATAATATGAGCTTTTGAATTAAAAGTATGTTGAAAAGTTATGTCTGATAAAGGTATTGTTAAGTACCAAAACAAATTTATATAATTTTACGTACAATAGGAATTGAAGAGAAGTTACCTTACACATTATTAATGACAAAATATCTTTTATTTGACTGTCATTTAATAGACATTTTGGCAGATGACTATTTAAAGAATACATCTCAATTATAAAGCATCACTTCGGTAATTATCACTAATTGAGAACTAATTTGGGAAAATACTTAGTTAGAAACGATTATTTTGAAAATTTACTCTATTTGTTGTCTTAAAATTATTTTTTAACTTACTATTTACAAGATTAAATTTATTTCTTTCTTTTTTAGTCATAGAGTAAAAGAATGTAGTCATGTTAATTACGTATAATTTCATTAAAAAAATTATATAATTTTTAAATATATATAAATTTTATTTTTAAATATTACACCTATAATTAAATAAATTGAATTAAAAATAAAATTAGTTAAATTTTGTAAATTAAAATGAGAAATTAATTTTAGGATGAATGGAGTAACATAGATTGTCCTAAACAAAAACCTTTAGTTTGATTTGGATTAGGCCATGTACACTATTTTTCAAAAAAAATGTATTCGTTAAATTCTAAAATGCTCTCAAATACCACAAAAAATGTTTTTCAATAGAAGGTTCAAGTCATTTTCGTAAATCTTTTCACATCATAAATATTATTTTCTTGTAAAAAAAATACTCCATATTTAATTTTGTATAAGTATTTGTTTACCACCTTCGTTCACATTAGAATTTGCCTAAAATAGTTTGGTCTTAGGTCCACCATAACATTTGGCACTCAAAAATACGAACAAAGAATAAAATATATGTTTATATTTTGTAATTTTGATTAAAAGAAATTAAAAATGGTAAACACTGCAATCATATTAGTAGAAAAACTGAACACAAACGGACTAAAATGTCACATGTTTCAAATCAAAGTTTATAAAGCCTCTAACTTCGGATATAAATACATTGAATTATCAGAGAGTGTCAATAAATTCAACCTGGTAAGATCTTTTGACATTGATGTATAGACCATGCCCGGTTGACTTTCTAAGCCTCTATGGAACTCCTAAGAATCATATATATACCCCTCCGGCGCCCACAACATACCATACACTAGTTGTACGATTTTTCCGTACATTTGTAGTGAGTACTTATTTACACATAACTGAATACTCATTTTTAATCAATTAAATATTCATTTTTGTGTATCTGATTTTTTTCCCTAAAATCTAGTTATGCTCGAAAATGAATATCTCTGTGGATGTAATGAAAATACCGCACATCTGGTCGCATTGTATTGACACCATAACCATTCTTATTATCCGATTTGTAAACTCTGATATTTTATCTGGAGGAATGAAAAATGACTTTTCATGTTCTCGAACTCCAACACAACCCCTAACAATTAACGACTGTTGATACAATGGACTACGATGTTTTAGAGTTAGAGTCCACCATCAAGGACATTAGCAAAGGGAAGGCCAAAAGGACTGACGGGCCGAAGAAGTATACTCCAACGGAGAGACTGAGATTGGAGAAGTACTACATCGATGTGTCGAAGGACACCACCATCGGTAACTACCAGAAATCTAGAATGTTCTAGGGACGTACGTCTTGCGACGAAGTACAACACCGGGAGGCTCGATGGTACGCCCTTACGTGATGGGGAAATGCTTCAGAAACACTAGAATAGTGTGCACCTGGAAGTCCAGAAGTTTGGTGGCCTTTATGTCAATGTGCTCAAGACGTGGCCCGGTGGATACCTTTATTATGAAGCGGAGAAGAAGCTTTTCAAGTTCCTCGAAATTTGGAAAATTCTACAGAATGGCCTCAATTCAGCATCAGGGTAGACGCCAAAGGATCGAAACTAAAGTGATCCAAACTATTCGAGGTTGGTTCATACTCGACGAGCAGAGTCGGACATTCTATCGCAACCAAAATGCCACATGGGACGATTTCCCCTTAGATCGGGCGACGAACTCAGTGATCAAAGCCATCTGATCGGGACAAAGGCGACAAATAATGTGAAGGGGAAGACCAAGACAACGGGTTCTAGTATGACACCCGAAAACCTGTTGTTGAACAAAATGAATAATAACCTAGAGAGCATGAGTTTAAGTGTTCATTGCACCAACCTTAGCAAGCTCATGACAATGAGTACGTCGAGGAAGTCAGAAATGAAGCTGAAGTACCAATAAAAAATTATGGCGGCGATCCATGTCATGATAAGTAAGACAACTCAATAGTATTTCTTTTTGAAATTTTTATTTTCTACTCACTTAATTTATTTTTAAATTTTTGTAAATCTAACGTTAAGCATATTAAATTTCATCTTTTATTAATGTAATACCCCTCCGTCCATAAATAAACTTCTCATTCACTATTCACATGGTCAAACTTTATTTACTTTGTTAGCCTATTTTTATTACCTATTTGATAAAATAATATAGTCATGTCATCTCTAGTTTTGTAGATCGTTTGATATAATTTTTTAATATGTAATTTTTATTTTTAAATTTTATACTATTTTTTATATAAAATGATTTAAAAACAATTTCAGTCAAACATTATAACGCGCAACAGAAAATTTATGTGTGGACGAATGAAATATTTCATAATTTTAATGTTGTACAAATGAGGAATGATATTGAGAAAAGTCTCCTCCCTAGACGAACACGGGTTCGCGAAACCACCACCTTAACCTTTTTGGTCTTTACCCGAATCGAAGCCCACCCCCGACTCGACCACGTGTGGCACGTGTCGCCCACCCAATTTGCTGGCAAAAGCACACACCACCTATCTGCGAAGAAACCAAATAAAGTGGGAGTTTCACAGAAAACCAGAATTTGGTCAGTAATTAAAAAAAAGTTAAATTTGGCAATTTCGAGAGAAGAGAGATAAAGAGAGTTGGGCCGGGCCGGCAAGGAGAAGGGATGAGAAGGGGGTGAAGAAGAAAGATAAAAAAAAGAAAAGTAAAAACCCGTTTCAGTTCTCTGCTCGGATTCGAAAAAGTTGTTTCCAAAAACTGATACGGAAAGTATTGAAGAAGATAGAGAGCTTCTCCTGATTTCTCCAGAATTTGCAGATACAGCAATCGAGAACCCGGGTTTCGGATTTCGAAGCTACAGCTTACGGCTTGCCCCAATTTGAAAGAGGTGAACTATTGTTCCAATTTTGAGCTTTTAATCCTCGTAATTGTTCCCGGATTCGGGGCATCTCTCCCTTGATTCCCCTGTGTTCGAATTTGCGGCCATCAATTGATTATCTTGCTGCATTAATTGCGATTGCATGCTTAATGGATTCCTCGTCTAGGGTTTTTATGTAAAATTTGGTTTTTTCTCCTTCAAAGGGTTTGTCCGTTTCTTTTTTCCAACCACTTTTTTTCTGCATATTGGGAATCTTTATTGTTGTAAGGTTCTATGGGACTGATTAATGGCAATTTGCCTAAAGATTGCTACTTTCAAGTTTGGCGTCTTGGTTTAATTTTTACTCCGTTCTGATTTCTGCTGATTTCGTAATTTCAGTTTGGCTTAGTAATTTGTTGAAGCCTCTTGAATTGATCAAGAGGGCAAATTAGAGATGATACTCCGTGTGGTGTAAACCTTTTTATCTCTTAATTACTCTTAGTCTTAGGTTAATGAAATGCTGTTTTATGGCCTTTGGCTGGGTATGGCAATATAGATGTTTTCATATTTAGGACTCTCTAATAGAATAACAGTTGAAGAAGGCTATAATTAGTCTGTCTCCATTACTTTCGTTATGTACACGTGTCAGTGAACCATATGCTTCCACGAGTTTTTTTTACCGTTATGCAGCTTAATATGGCCAAGCACACGAAATCTAGATGAATGGATGCCCAATCTGTGCATGATTTATACTGGGCAGGGGGTGGGGAAAGGTGAAAAAAGAAACATTTGTATTTTGGTGCTTAGATACATGTAGGTGTAAATGATACACTTGACTGCATGTTTGCAATCCAGGAAGAGGTTAAACATGCAACGTTTACTTTGTGTTTTATTAAGAACCATGTCCACCATGAGCCTTAAATTTCTTTTTTTCACATGAACCTTGAATGGGTATTTTGCTGTATAAGGCATCATGCCTTGGTTAAAATATGAGATTGCCTGTATATTGACATCACACACTAACTTCCATAGTGAGTGTCATGGTTTGAATCTTCTGATTTTTTGATTAACATCATTAATTAGTTGTGCATGCAATTCAATGAATTGCCATTATATTGTACCCAAAAAACATTTCCATGATATGTTTATTATTACTATGGTTCTGTGCAAGTATATGTGACATGCAACTCTACTCTATATGCTGCAAAATGGAGTAAAACTGTAATTATATACTCCCTCCGTCCAATCGTCCATTTATTTTCTTCCCGTTTTGACCGGGCACGGAGTTTAAGAAAAATTAAAATAAACATTGACTTTCCAGAAATGCCCCTCACCTTTCTTCACAGCCCCTTCCCTGATGGATGTCTTCCATCCTCGCCATCTTCTTCCTTCATCCTCGCCATCTCCTTCTTCCATCCTCACCATCTCCCTCCATCCTCACAACCTTTGTATATCCTTCATCCTTGCAACCTCAGTCAATTAGATTCTGTCTGCAAGTTCAGATCTTCATCACTTGTCAGATCTGCACCTTCTCTGCAAAGGTCCATCAAAGAGTTGATAGGTGGGGGGGGGTATAGTTTGTGAGGGTATATTAGACATTTTTCACTAAAAAATTTGCCAAAAAAGGAAACGAGATAATATTTTTTGGGGGGACGAAAAAGGAAAGCAGGAAGAAAATTTTTGGACGGAGGGAGTATTATGATCTTGGTCGGTATAGTGATAACTTGTATTTACTAGTAAATACTAGAGGCATTGCATCAAAACATAACTATCCACTTCACAGCGTCCAACTAGCTATACATTTCGTAGGATCGTTCAATATGTGCCTTTTCCTTCAGTGTATACTACAGAGGGCATCACATTACTACTATTTTTCCTCTCTATTCTTTTATTGGTCTCACCAGACAGCCCCTTCAAATGTATGGCTATATGCATTCTACCCCAATACAGTTTGGGCAATTGTGGTTTCAAGGCAACTTACCTATCAATCTTCACGTGAATATGTCAAGCTTAGTTAAGGCTCTGAGTGACAATGTGCACATCAATAAATTGAAAAAAAATTGTTTTGTTCCTATTTTATATGTTCTGTGAAGGATCATATAGATCTTTTCAAGATGCATTTTCCGTGTTTTTTGCTTTTGCTGGAACCTGTTACAGCAAAGCACCCATTTGTGGTTCAAAATTATGGTTGCATAGTTGTGTCGAAGTCTTAGACCTTTCTGTCCTTTCTTTTCTTGGGCCAGAAGTATCTACCAATATCTTTTTCATGTTCACGATGATTCTCTTTGATATTTATATTGTGGCCTTAGAATACAGCAAACTGATTATTCTTGTTATTATTTTGCAGGTCGCCACATGATGCCATAGTTTTTGACGAAATTGGTAAACAATGACACTTGAGGATTTCTTTACATTGACTGAAATAAATAATGGGCTTGAGACTCCTCTTCGGATCCAGGAGCTTGTTGCTGTAATACAAAAGGAAAAAGATGTTAATGGGAGCATCGCTGATGCAACTAAACAGTGGTCTGCTGTTGCGAGCACTATAGCTGCAACTGATAACAAAGACTGCCTTCAACTTTTCACCCAGTTAGATGGACTGAATTTTCTTGACAATTGGCTGACAAAAGCTCAGTTCTTTCATGACTCAAGCGATGACAATTACTCAATTGAAGAGTCTATCACTGTTTTACTTCGGGCAGTTGAGAAGCTCTTGCATGTGGGCAACGAGGAATTAGCTTCTTCTGGAATCAGGGTATCTGTACAGAAGCTTATTGGTCACACGAGTTCAAAGGTGCAAGAGATGGCTAAAGCCCTCATTGATCGGTGGAAGAAAGGTGAAGAAAATGCTTCTGGGTCCGTTGATGGTGAGCCTCGTGGAGTAAGTGTATACCCAGAAGAAGAAAAGCCTCTGTCAGGTTCTCCATGCATGGATGTTCATCCCTCCAAAGATGGATGCAACAATCAAGATAGAGATATGAACCTTCCATCTTTGAGATCTGATGAAGAAACATCCAATAAAATTTCAGACTTTGTGAACTCTTCTTCATTGACAAAACACATCAGCAGCGATGTTCATGATGAAGAGGAAGAAAGCACCAAGTTGTTGCATCCAGAAGGTCCAGAACATGGTACCCTTAATGAACTGACTGAAAAGTCTGATGATAGTTTGAAGGGTAGACCGATAACCAGAAGTTCTGATGGCACGGTTTTGTCTCCAAGTCCTGAAGCAAAGGATGCCACGGGTAAAGAAAGTGGATCTGAGAATCATTGCAGAAGCACAATGGTGGTGGAATCCAATGAAAGCCCTAAAAGCAATGTTGAACGGTTGCATGATCTGGAAAATATTGGAGGGGTGGAGGTCGACGACGATCTTAGTGATCAGAGTGAGGATGATCTTCCTTTTGGGAAACTATACATGGGCAATAAAGATGCCACCGATATGCTTGGAAAGAGATCTGACCTTGACTTGGATCCACTAGAGGTCGCTCTGCAAGTCGCCATAGAAGTGGGGAGAGAGTTTGAGCAGAACTGTATTTCAGTGAAAAAAACAGCCAAAGTCCATCATGAGGAGTCCCCCAATAGCAGTCCATTAGATTCTGAGATTGAAAAACACTGTGAAACTACAACTACCGATACCTCAAACAAGGGGGGAGCACAAGAAGGGATCTGCCATCCTCCAACTGATGACGATGATACTTCACAGGTCAGTGGTAAAAACATAAATAATTCAGAAATAAATGAAACACAAGACTTGGACTCTGAGAAGGGTATGTGTGATTTTGACTTGAATCGAGAAGTCAAGTCGGAGGAAGAAGAAAATGCAGATCGTCCGCCTATTGCTGTTTCCAATGCTGAGAGTGATGGAAGTTCAGAGCAGCAGCAGATACATGGCTGCTCCCGCCTTGATATTGATCTGAATGTTGCTGAAGGAGCTTCTGGAAGAGATGAGAGGTGTGTGGATTTGAATATCAGAGAAGAAGACATGGCTGCTCCTGCTTGGGAGGAGGATGAGTCTTCTTCTGTTGAAGTAGCAAGCGGTTCCAAAATGCGGGAAAGGGTTGATCTGGATCTTAATCGCATTACGGATGGTGATGAAGAAGAAGCTCACCCATCTGATTGGAGGAGGATGGATAGACACCAGCTATCTTCAAGTCCAACTGTTCCCCACCGAAGTCAATCTCCTCCATCTTCAACGGCATCATTTCTTAACATTGACCTAAATGAGGGCAACCCCGTTCTTGGTAATGATTACTCAAGCCTCTCATATTTCACCAATCCTCAACCTGCGGTGTCCATCATGGGCATGAGGGTTGACCGAAACCAAAAAGAGCATCTTTTTCCAAAAATGCCATCGGACCCAGTTCTTGATGTGAATAATAGGGCGGCAGCAGCAGCTGCTCTTGGAATGGAATCTCTGTTTTCATATGCTCACTCGGCATCCGGTTATGATCATGTCAATGGTATCACGGCACCAGTGCCTTTCTCATCCCTGGTGTACGGACCTACAGGAGGCTCCATTCCCTACATGGTCGATTTCAGAGGAATGCCAGTCATGCCTCAAATTGTGGGTCCTGCTTCATCTTCCTTTCATCAGCAGCAGCCATTCATTATTCCTCTTGGAAATGGTGCATTGATGATGCCATCTCGAAATGGTTTTGATCTCAACAATGGTGGCTTGACGATGGCATCCGCATATCCTCCAACGGCTCCTGAGGAGGACTTTGGTGGAGGTCTGAGGCGGCAAACGTTGCATCCCCTTCTTCAGCCCAACTCACAACCATCAACAAGTTTGAGTATTGGCGGGAAACGGAAGGAGCCGGATGCTGGCTGGGGGGACACTTACCCTTTCGACATCAACCATCGTCAACCTCCATGGAAATAGAACTTCTTGCAGCTGTCATTCTCATTTTAGGACTACTACATAGTCTGAGGGGCAGGGCAATGAATGTTAATTTATAGCCAAATAGATGATGACTCTTGAACAAGAAGAAGAAGAAGATACCAACACAGCTTTCCTAATATTTTGCAGCTGGAGGAAATTATATGTAGAGCAGGGAATTGAATAAAAGACATGACTGATTATTATTGATTTCAGACCAGAAACAAACCACACATACCAAAATTGCCCACGTCTCCAGATGTCTAATGTGTTCTTTTTTTCTTCTTTTTCCTGGCTTTCAGATGTTTCAAACGCAACTGTAACCACTCATTTACATCAATCAAATTTTGATATGTGAATTCTGTTTTTATTATTCTGCCTGCCGACTTGTGCAATCCAAGTTCATTTCTTCTGTACTTTGATTGAATTGTGTTTTTTGTTTTTGAAGAATAATTTTCGGTGGGCATCACTCTTTGCAATATACGGATTAAGGAGTAGTGATACTGTTGGATTTTTGTGGGTGTTTCTCCGTGTTTATAAACTGGTCAAAACTGTTTATAAACCATTTTTAACTTATAAGTCAGCTGATCATCTTCTTTGCGTGTTTATAAGTTGTCTTATAAGTCAAAAAAATAATTATGCCTTAGCTACTTATTTTTAAGTCAGTTTTTTTGTTTCTCTATTTTGAGTAGATTATTTGCAAAGTTGTCTCTCACCATTTATGAATATTTACAAAATAGTTATCTACTTCTAGGAAAGAATATTTAACTTAAAACCAACTTATAAGTCAAAAACTGCTTATCAACAATAGCCAATAAGCAACAACACAGAGTACCCACTTTATATTGAGGTTCCGTTTTGCGCACAGAATTCAAACTATTGAATTGAAATTGGGGACAATAATCCAATTTTGCTGTTTGGTAGCACAAAAATATGTAAATTTGAAATTGGTAGTGTTAAAAATGAATTGGAATTGGAGAACTCAACTAAATCCAAATCAATTCTATAGATTTTCAACCTCCAATTCAATTCCAACTCCGTCAATTTTGTATACCAAACAGACCCTAAATCGTTCCACGCTTCACCGCCTATGGAAATTGACGGTGAAGGCAAGCTCGGAATCAGGAGGACATATGAAACTGACGGCCTTTCTTCTTCCTTTTTCCGATTCGGCCAGAGCAGGCGGCATTGATTTGTTCGTCACTTGGCCTACACAGTAACAGAATTTACTAGGCCTACACAGAGGACGGATGAAATTGATATTCCATTTCTGCGCCTGAAACCAACCAGTAACGGATCCAAATCCATTGAAATCTAAGGTTGCAAGAAGAGATTTCTAGGAGTGAAATTTTAAGCATTTTTTAAAGGAATTCCAACAAAATCCATAGAGTATTAAAATACCTAAAAAAATTTAAAGATTTTTTGAAAATCCAAGTTGAATACCTCAATATTTTTAAAGGCTTTAGAAAATCTCTATTGAATACCTTAATATTTTTAAAGATTTCTAAAAATCCAGATTGAATACACTCAGATTTTATAAATCTAAAAAAATCCTACAAACTCCAAATTTAATACACCCCCTTAGAAGAAATTATAATGAGAACATGATTTTTTGAGCTTAAATTATTAACTTCTAGTTTTTTTTACAATTTGTTCTAGTTTTTTCTATTTTTCTAATTTTTTCAATTTTAAGAGAATATAAAATTTAAATAAGATTTACAACAATTTTGCGGCTAAGAAATACTCCCTCCGTTCCATGAAACATGTGACTTTTGCTTTTTAGAGGGGGTTTAAGGGGAGTGTATTTTGGTATTGAATTTCCAAAAATGTCCTTTGATGTGATGAGTAAAAGTATGATTTGATGGATAGATTATTAATAAAAATGTATGATGTGATAGTTAGGGTATGAAAAAATAAGGGGTAAAAGTGATTTTTAAATAGAAATGAAAAGTGTTTTGTGAGACGGATAAAAAAAGAAAGGAGAAAAGTTTCATGAGAGGGAGGGAGTATAACTCAAAGGAGTGGAAAGAAAATGTGTGAAAAATATGATTTGAGTGTTATGTTTAAGTAGTGAAAATTATGAAATTTTTTATTTTTTTTACTCCAACGGTTAGCTTTGAAAAAAAATAAAATCCGAACGTTTGGCAACTAGAAAAACGGCTGGGGAACCGTCCACTTCCCGTTCCCGCTGCTTCCCGTCGCCCCTTCCCATGGGCTTAACACACGGCCTAAAAAACAAACTGAAGTCTAGCGGATTTAAGCAAGTTCCCTTTTCTTTTCTTCTCATTAAACCCTTTCCATTTTCCGGTGAGCACAAAATCAAGTTTCCTCTCCCTTCAGTCGTTCCACCGATTCCTTCACTGTTAGTTCCAATGTCGGACAGCAATTCCCAAGATTCCAGGGTCTTCACCGAGCTTGAGACCTCTTCCTCCGACATGCTTACCGGAATTTTGGTGATGAGCGTGATTGCCGCCATCGTTGTCTTTTGGTTCGTCTACCGTCATGTGCTCCACCGTCGCCGAACGCATTGCAAGGCGGTGGTCGCCGCCACTACGCGGTGAGTGTCTTTAGTGTTGGTGGGAGACTGGGTGGTTTCTTAAACAAAGGTGAAATTTGTCATATCTACAATTCTTTGTCTAAATTTACAAAAAAAAAAGGAAAAATTACCCAAAATAATCCCAACTTTACTCGGTTTTTCAAAAATAATCCCACCTTTCACTGTGATGTATAATAATCCCAACTTTACTGAAATTTGCCAGTTTTGGGTCGCCGTTAAGTTTCTAACGGAGGGATAACGAAAATGCCCAGTTTAGGCAACAAAATGAAAGTTGGGATTATTTTTGATGAATTTTTGTTTTTTAATTTTTTTTGAAATTTTTATTTAAATTTTTTGAATTACTTTCAACCTCCATTTCTTTTTCTTGTTTAAAGATTATTCTTACCTTAGAAAAAAATAGATATAAAAAATAATGAAAATGAGAAAAATAACTAAAACCATACAAAATTAATCAAATAAATAATGTAATCAATAGAAATTAAACAGAAACTGGTAAAAGTAAAATAAATATTACATTATTTATTTGATTAATTTTGTATGGTTTTAGTTATTTTTCTTATTTTCATTATTTTTTATATCTATTTTTTCTAAGGTAAGAATAATCTTTAAAAAATAAAAAGAAATGGAGGTTGAAAGTAATTCAAAAAATTTCAATAAAAATTAAAAAACAAAAATTCATCAGAAATAATCTCAACTTTCATTTTGTTGCCTAAAACGGGCATTTCCGTTATCCCTCCGTTAGAAACTTAACAGCGACCCATAACTGGCAAATTTCAGTAAAATTGGGATTATTATGCATCACAGTGAAAGGTGGGATTATTTTGGGTAATTTTTTCAAAAAAAAATGAGGATGCAAAATCATCTCTTAAACAAAGAAAGGAAATGTTAGACCATCTATCATTTATACTACTTAATTATTTATAATTAAATACCTAAAATGGTAAGTGGTTTAACATTTCCTATTTTAATTTATGACCAAACCGTCACCATTAATATTTGCAATTGGATTATTTTGCTGGCCTTTATGAAAGGAGGAAAAGTTTGGTTAAATATAGGATGTGGGAAAAAAGGCATTAATGTACCCATAGAATTATCCTTAATGTAACCAAGTAAGCGCTCCCTTTATGAATCCATCAACAGCCATTCATTACTCCTTTGGGGAATGGCAACAACATATTTGGTTTAAAGTTGTTTAATATATGATCTCATTTGGTATAATATGATTTTAAAAAGATTAAATAATAAAAATAAGTTGAAGAGAGTAGGTTTTTAATCGGTGACTCTTGAGCGGAGGTGGAAAAAATATCACATCTACAATTATTTTTGTCTAAATTCCCAAATTGAAATATTTTATGGCATGTTTGTGAACTCAAATTTGGATTTTAAATCTAGATTTAATTCAAATTACTTGTTTGGAAACTCAAAAATTTTGGATTTGGATTTGAACCAAATTCTTCTAATTCAAAACTAACTCAACTACAAATCCACACCCCTCCCCATGTCATTTACAAATTCAAACTCAAATTTTCTTTAATTCAAAACTTGTAATAATTAAAGATTGATTTTCTCTTATGTAATAACAATTCATTACATATCAACTCGCTTCCGTTACCGTCTTTGCCAACTTCAAACTTCAAATCCTAGAATCGAAATTCTATGATTTTTCAAACAGCATTTGAAATTTGAAATTATGGAGTTTTAATTGTTGGAATTGAAATCTAAGATTTCAAGTGAATTATAGTTCTCAAACACTATCTTATGGGAATTGAATAAGAGACATGACTGATTAGTATTATTATTATTATTATTATTATTATTAAAATAAATTAAAATAAAGATGCCAACAACGAGTGACGTTGGATCTCTCATCTTCCTTCGACTATCATGTTATGCAATAGTATATCACATGCATGCAAACATGATTTTCGAGATGAACAATCGACACCGCGGGCGAGCTGGGCCTTTCACTATTACCTATCAGCGGCCACCGCGCGCGATTGGAGGACTACGAACGCACGCACCACATCTTGATCGATCTTTCAGTGTTGACTCCCAATCAGAATAGTAGAGTTTTCGGAGAAACTATATATTCGTCAGAAAAGCACGGGCCATTTGCAAATGTACAAGTGGCCGGGTACATGAACGGGAGGAATAGTCGTCTCAGCCTGTCAAGCGAATTCATTTAGAATCTCCGCCCGCGCCTGGCCGGATTAGAGGCAACGACTCATGCCAATGCTTTTACTTCTTCTGTACTTCGATTGATGAATTATGTTTTTTTATATTAATAATTTTATGAAGGCATTCTTTGTACTCCCCTCCGTCCCACAAAACCTTCCTCTTTCGTTTTTTTTGCTTTCCACAAAACACTTTCACTTTCTATTAAAAAACCACTTTTACCTCTACTTTTTCATACCCTACCTATCACATCATACTTTTTCACTAATAACCAAACTATCTCATCTTACTTTTTCCAATCACATCAGGGGCAAAATTGGAAAGTCAACCAAATTTACACGTTTCTTATTTTTCCCCAAAGTCAAAATCGTAAGAGTTTTGTGGAACGGAGGGAGTAATATATATAGTGATACTGTTAGAAAAAAAAATCGAAGGGCATCCTAACACAACTGTAAGCACTCATTTATTAGAAAAGTAAAAAAGTATGACAATTTTTTTCGAAATGACGGAAAAGAAAAGTAAGACGATTAATTTCAAAAGGATGAAATATATAGCTATTGGTTTTGATGAGATAAACCTACTTGAAATCATTAAAAATATGATTATCGTATCATACTTATTTCTTA